CATTCTTCTAGTGACAAAGAGGCAAATCTTGCTAACGTTCATAAGAGGACAGCAAAATATGATAGTAGCTGATGCATATCAATATTTGGTGGAGTGATTCAAGCACACAAACTCAAGCCTCTGAGTATTTTGTGGCTACTTATTGAAGAATGATTATATTCCATCTTATTCTTTTCTGTCAATGTTAATTGTTTTAATTGCTTTCTCATTTTAGCCCAGTTAGATATTCCATCTTGCTTGTATGTAGGACTATTCTTATTTAAAGTCATAATATCAGTTTTTTGTGAGCCAGTCCTTAACAAATTAAAACTCCTTATGGGTGTGTCGTGCATCATGCGTACCACTCTATGTATAGTAGTTTACATTAAGTGCATGTGTACATCAAAAATCACTCACTGACATTCAATTAATGCTAATAAATGATTTTTTTTTTCTTATTTTGAAAAAAGAACGATCATTAAACTAAAATATGAACAAGAACTAAAGATCACCCTCTTCACATTAAGTTGCTGAACCGTGTTAGTAATTTCTTTTAGGATAAAATGACCAGGTATCTTCTGATTAGACCAGAGTGCTCCTTTTCTATAACAAGGATAAATAATTATTTCATGGAAGTATTAATAACAGAAAGCCAACTACATGGAAAGGTTGGGGGAAAAAATCAGCAAACATGAGTCTTGGGTTTCGACCTCATGAAGAGTAACCCAATCTGATTATTGTTTTCGTATTATTTTACACTTACTATGCCCACAAGATGGTGAATCTCTTGAGAACATCAGTCTCAAAATTCAAATGCTTGTTATGAGCATTCTGGACTATGATACTGTACTGAGCGTCGAGGATTAGCCTTCTTAAAAGTAGTAGTCTAAGCACCTAAATGTTGATTATGATTTTCCTATTTTAGCTAGCTATGAAAATAGAAAGCAGGTTCTTAATCTTGAAGATATTTGAATAACCTGGTAATAAAGCCATTTATTACATGCGCATATATAATTAAGTTTTAATAGGAGGATTGGATTGTCTTTGGGAGTTTGAAATAATTGATTGGTCAGATCAGAGAAAGTGTTTAAAATTCTTCGAGAATTTTGTTTCTGCCTTCTGTATTGGAGCAAAGTTTTGATTCACATTGGTTTTTGGAAAGACCGTTAAGAGTATGTAAACTATGTAGGCTAAATAGGACAGATAGTGTTATAGATAATATTTTAGTTTTTTCTTTTTCTTTCAGACTTTGAAATATTTCATAATTCACCTTCCTGAAAGGGGAGTGGTGTCAATTGCAATTTTATACTCCATAAAGAGCATGAATGAGGCCAATAGTAAACAATCTTAAGTAAGCATACCCAATGCCCAATTTTCTGGTTTCTTCAAATGATCAGATTTGTAGCAATTTTTTGTCAATTGCAATTTTATACTCCATAAAGAGCATGAATGAGGCGACATTAAACAATCTTAAGTAAGCATATCCAATTCCCAATTTTCCAATTTCTGATGCACGCTGTCCTAGGCACTCTAAATTAAAATCTATACTTCTTAAAATTAATGTAATAGTGAAAGTAAGGGTCGATCTCACGAAGAGTGATTTATTTATTTCTATGCCAAATAAACAGTGTTTTGGGGGTGTTTTGACAGTATTAAAATCAACTTCAATAAAAACAATCAATAACAATGCACTCAACGATTTAAATTAATCAATAAAACTAATCTTGATCTAAGTCAATATCCGCCTTCGAAATTTTTACAACTGATCATGGATGCAATTGTGAATCAATTCATATTTTCGGATATTCATCATTGGAAAAATAATTACCATTCAAATTAATTTCCTATTCCTCAAGTATAATTAGTTAGGGCAACGACCTTCAAACTAGTCCTAATTATCAAATAACCATAGATAATCGCTTAGATTTAATTCAATAACAACTTTGCGTATTAGAGAAATCGATGAATTAGATAACACAAGCCACGCATTTGCATTTAACTTATTCAAACATTCTTCTTAAGATTTAACAATTTTCAAACCAGCAAATTATTAATCATAATTGCTTCACAAGTTAAATCAACCAAAACAATTATGGATTTGATATTTAACTTAGTGATAGATTATGATGAATAACAAACTAGTAGATCTCCTAGCAATTAAACATAATAATCATTGAAAATAAATGCAAAAGAATGTTCAGTGCCCAAAAACATGAATTAAACTAATAAAACAATTCAATTTCACAGTTGTATAGATTCTGGGGCTTCAATATCCTCGACCAAGTATGAGAAAATTAGTTGCACATCATAGATCTTCAGCACAAAGAGAGAAAAATAGGGTTGGGGGCATTCTCCTTAGTTTTGGTCGTGTTTTGGTATTTAAAGGATGCCAAGGATATTGCTTACCAAAATCGAATAAGGAAAGAAATAATTTTCCCAAATTTCTCTTGAGGCACGCGCCTTGTGTAAATTAGGGCACACACTTGGCTTGTTTGGGGAGCCTCAGGTGTCTCTTTTTTGGTTGAGGCACGCGCCTCTTTTGCAAGCGAGGGCGCGTGCCTAGGCATGATTCTAACAGCCAAACATCGTTTAGTATTTTTATCATAATTTTTTCTTCCGATATCCAATTGATGTCATTTAAGATTCATTGGAAAGATAACTCAAAGGGCTACAACTTTTATTTAGATGTCATCTTCCAATTCGATCGTTTACCATGCCAAAAAATGGGTCTCAATATGATGCTAAAAATCTGTGCATAACTTTTTCGTTTGAAAATTGATGTGTGGTTATTCTTTGATTGTATTTCATACCTTTGACTTATTTTCCCTTTCACTTGACGTCTAACTCTCTTGAATCTTCATTCCATCTCTCGTCACATATATGGATTATTTGCAACTTTGTCCCTAAACTTTCATCTTCTCTTTTCTTGGCTTCTTTTTCTTGTTTTCCTTCTTCCAACGCTTTGAGTCTTTCTTCAACTGATCTTCAAATCCTTCACTCGTTCATTCACCTTCCAGTTCAACTTTTGGATAATTGTATTTTAGTCCTTCAACTTTTGATTTTTTTTCACTTTAGTCATTTTTTGCTCTTTTCTTCTAATTTATGCCATCATCATCCAATTGCGACTTAAATCAAAATATAAGGGTACTCAGTACATTTAGGCATCAATTAATCACAAAATGCCAACATTAATGGGTGAAAAATGTGATATTTTATGTTCTATCTGTTTCTTCAAATGATCAGATTTGTAGCAATTTTCTGTCAATTGAAATTTTATATTCCATAAATACATGAATGATGCCAACAGTAAACAATCTTAAGTAAATATGAGGCAATTTCAAAGACCTGGGAAAAAAATATGAGGCAGTTTCCAGCAGAATCGAGCTTCACAAAAATTGACATCTACTGGTTTCACTAAAATAGTTACAAATGCATAAACATCCATTGGTTTAAAAGTCACATAAGTATTATACAAGAGCCATATGTAAATGCTAGCAAGCTAACGTAAACTGATTAGGCATCAAAAACATCAAACAATTAAGCCTACCTTGAAATAATGGAGAAGAAAACTCCCAGAAATCAAGCCTCTCTCACACAATTGAGGGCTGGTGTCTGCGCTCGATATTGAGAGAACGAGAAAGAGAGATTGACAGGAAACAAGGGAGAGATATTGACAGGGAATGAGGGAACGAGATTTATATGCGGCCTCTATCTTTCCTAATTTCATAAGGTATGGGCTACCGTGTTGGTGGTTCTAATTTTATTATGTTTTGGGCTCGACTGTTATGGCATGCGTGGGCTACGTTTTGGGCTCCATCTAATAACGTCGTTAAAATGCCGTAATTATTTACGGCGTCTCCTAAATTTATGCCGTAAAATGTCATGATCATTGACTATTTACGGCGTATCCTAAATGTATGCCTTAAATACTTTAAGAAATTAAATTATTACGGCACACATATACCGAACGCCATAAAAGGAGACTTTTCTGGCATGCATAAAATGCACGCAATAAATAAATGCAATAAAAAACTACTTTTGTTGTAGGGGTCAATGGCATGGATTGTGGGGAAGAGAATCAGAAGACTTTAAAGTGATAATTAACATTGATATAGTATTTAATCTGGACTTAATTCCATGTTTAACAAAGCTACAAATGAACAAGATACTCATAAACAAGGCAAATGTATAGATATTGAAGTAGAGACTTTAAGTGTTCAAATTGATGTTACACTAAACAAAAAATTCAAGCGTAAATCTTAAGAACACAAATTTAGAATCCACCAAAAAATCAAAGACAAAATCAAGAAATTTTATTAATTCCAAGATGCCCAAAAACAAAGATTTCTAAGGGTTTAAACAAAAGCCTAGCCTAAAGGAATGAAATTGTAAAGAATTCGAAATAAACTAAATGATAAATCTGAGCTTGATTGCCAAATCTGCAATTTACTATTTTTCCTTTTTCGGTGCAACTGTTTCTCAATCCATTCAACCATTTTTTCTATATCACATACTAAGTTAGATAAAGATCAAACTTAGCTAAGTACAACTTATACTCGTGCACAAGAAGAGAATACTCATAACAGCTTGATAATAAACATCTCGAAAATTATCAACCATCTGGCAGAGGATATGCAAAGAAGACACCTCCTTTTGTTATGATGATTATGTTACATTCCTCATCTATGAAAATAAATGAAGAACCAAAGTTAAAAGAAGAGTAAGAATAAACGGCAATACCATATACCAAATTAATTTTCCACGACACTTACTTCTCTAACCTTAACGTCACATGAAATTCTTTGTACATTTTTGTGAACGACAAAGACACTTTCCAAATTTGAAATAAAAAAATAGGCTCAGTTCCACGTGCTTACGTGAAAGCAGATTTTTTTCCTTTTAGCCTAAGGTACAGGGCATACTGTTTACGTATGTAAATAATATAATTAAAGTTTTCCATTTGTCGGCATATATATTTTGGCTATATATAGTACTATAACCTGTACATCTATTGCCTAGTCTCAACCGACAAAATTGTTGTTCTTAATTTTCTGTATTTGCAGATGGATAAGGAAATTTATGCCCTGGAAAAAGCTATTAGGTATATGAAATACCTTCAAGAACGAGTGAAGATACTTGAGGAACAAACAAGAAAGGCTGAGATAGTTACCAAGAATTCACAGGTGGTGGTGGAGGTGGACGACAACGGATCGTCGTCGACTGAGCCGCAGCAATCGCCGGCAATCAAGGCTAGAGAGCGTGGCAAGAATGTTCTCCTCAGAATTCATTGTGAGAAAAGTAATGGGATTTTGGTGAAAATAATAAGTGAAATGGAGAAGCTTAATTTGAGTGTTGTTAACGCCTCTGTGGTGTCTTTCGGAAGTTTATCCCTTGATATTAATATTACAGCAGAGGTAATTAATATCCCTTCACTCGTTAATCGAACATCCACTTAAGTATATTAATTATACAAATTTTTTAACCAAGTTGTTCAATAAGATATTAGAGTCGGCAAAGGGCTTAAGTTCAGGTCTCCTAATAAAAAATTACATTTGCTAGACTTTCGATAAGATATATATTAATTTAATGAATAAACATTTCATCTCTTTAACTAGTTAAATTTTTTAACGAGGTGGTTTATTATGGTACTAAGAGTCACTCAGAAATTCGTATACCATAACCTCATTTAAAAGTTACATGATAGTTTAGGTTTTAGATAAGATCATTCCATTCAGAATTTGAATAGACATGAGACTCCGCATTGAAGATGTGTATATATAAATATCTCTCGTCTTCTGTAGGTTAGTTTAACAAAATTGGTATGTCCTACGAGTCCTTGCTTTATTTCTGTAATTTTTGGAGCTGAGCCTGTATTTGTTGTCTGAAATTCCTTTCAGAAGGAGAAAGAATCCAGTTTGACAGTGAACGAAATTGTACAAACTGTCGGTGATGTTCTGCAGAATGCTGCCTAGAGAGAAAAGGGAGCTGAGCAATGGATTCCAAGGGCTAATTAAGAAAATGGAACAAGTTTTCTCTCTTTTTTTTCCATGACCGAAAGGCTAATTAAGAAAATGGAACAAGGTTTTTTCTCTTTTCTTCCTTCACATTTCGGTCATGCCTGTGATATATTATTCAGATTCTATCATTTTATAGTTTACTTTCTCGATGTATGTATGGATGGATATTAATTTACAAGTCGATACATATTTTCCATTAATGTTTTCTTCTCAATTTCAGTATAAATTATATTGGTGTTTTCGAAGAAAGTAATAGTCATAAGGCAAACTAAACTTTTAGCTTGAATTTGGGACTCAACTACAAGGCTTACATTGAAGATTTTTAATATATACTAGTCAAAGTGGAACGTTCATTACACGTTATTCTAAAATATTTTATAAGTAACGTAAAAGTAATATTTGATACAAATTTGTTGGAGAATTTGATGAGCTTCGGATGAATTAAAGAAAACAAAATTTAGCATATAAATTTAAGAGAAGAAAACTGTACTCAAATTATACTTTCAAAAAGCAATTTTTATGATTCAAATTTTTTGTAATGATGGAATAATATAAATGAGCAATCTTTTTATATTACATTTGATGCATAAAAATTAATTGTTAATACATAAATTTAAATATTGATTAAAAATTCTAGTTACATGAATATGAATAAGAATAAATTCATTTATAACAACTATAGATTCATATAATTCAAGATTCATTAAGTGAAAATTAATTGAATTTAGATTAATGTGAATGTTAATTAATAGAGAATTAATAGCACAGATTTCATAAACAATAATAATTATGTAGTATTTATTACATATCGAAAAACGAAAAGTAAGATATTATTGAAATAATTGAATTGTAAAGGGTTAAAATCATCCAAAAAATGATTCTCCATTGATGTAATACTTTAATAAATTATAGATTAACAATTGTCTCAAAAAAGGTATGTTGATCTCGGTTTCCGGTTAGAAAACTTTGTCAATAGATCTCAACTCTAGTCACGTCCACGTGTAAGGTTTCTACATACTTGGACAAATCGTAAAATGCACACGGCCTTCCCTATTGGTGGGAGATGCATCTTCAAGCACTTCCTCAATCAATTAGTCAATTATAGATGTATATTTGAATGGAATGAACAGTGGACATGGACCACAATGATGTGTATCGGGTTCAAAAGAAATGTTAAGCAAGATTACAATTGAGCTTGTAAAATTGTATTACTTGTAAATGTGTAAATTTTTATTATAGAAGAGACAATGTGATTATCGTTAGATGAATAATACAAGGCCTCATCTTGGAGATCGTTGTGTCAACCTCATAGGCTTCACCTCTGCAATCCTAGGTTGGAATGGCATTTAGCCCCTGTTTGATACCGATTAAAATTTATATTTTAATTTAAATCAAAGTCAAAAATTAATTGTAATAATATATTTTATAGGTCCCACAACTTTTTAAACCCACATTTCATCAAGTTTTATAAAAATATACTAAAAATTTGATTTTAATCCCCAACAAGCAAAAGCTTAATGATTTTGAAAAGTGATCACCCTATAGCTTAGGTCTAAAATCTGAAAAATGGACTGATTACTTGATCAAGAAGCGTTTACTTTAGAGATGTAAAATCAATCAATCTTACATAAGATCTTGTACAAAAGATCTTGGATGAGGCAAAGCCATCAAGGATATGCCCTGTGGAATGAATACTTTTCGCTTCAAAAATAGGGTGTAGCAGGTCGTGACATACTGCCTTGGACATGGAGGTTCGGTCTCTACATATCACTTCAACTAAGGAGATGGTAACACTTCGACTTCCTTTATTTGATGGCATCGATCAGATCGGGTAAGCAGGTGTTGCGAAGTGTGGAGCTTAGGTAATTTCTTGCGTTTTTCCTAGCTACCTGTCAAGTGCCCAATAATATGGACGTGATAGGATGAGACGAAATAGGATCTATATAATTCAATTTGTGTTTGAAAACTAAATTGTGAAATTGAGAATAGGGTAGTGTAAATACAAATTAAATATTGAGGGTAATGTTAACGAACAAATTAAAAATCATATAAGTTATAAACCCAGTAGATATTTTTCAATTGACATCCCAAATAACAGAGAATATACTCTCTCTGTCCCTTTTATATAGGTGACTTTTCTTATCTTCTGTACCAAATTATAGTTTTGTTTTTTTTATTGAGAATATATTTGTTTTGTTCATTTACTAATAAATCAATATTTAATTTGTTTAGTTATAATCAATTTTCTCCATTTAATTTTAAAATTGTTCAGATTTTAATTTACATACTCCTTGGAACATCCAACTACATACACATAGCTCTCGAAGGGAGTAAAGTTGTTAATAATTAAATAAGAGTAAACTAGAAAAAATCTTCGCAAAAATTACTTTTTCAATAAAATTTCTTAATTCGTGTGAAAATAAAATAAAATCAATCAATATAAATGGGACAAAAGGAGTAATGCTCTTAGTTAATTGCATATCTTACTTTATGGGCGAATAATAGAATCATGTGCAATTGTGTGCTAAAAATAATAATAAGTAAATAAAACAAGTACTGTGCAATTATATGTGTTCCTAAAAAATGAAGACTCAAATAAAACAAATACATAAAAAATGATTTTCTTAAAAAATAAAGTCTCCCTAACGTCCTCACCATATATCAATGAAAAAATTACAGAAATCATTTATAAGAAGAATAAGATAAACGAAAATTTTATTCAAGATTGATATTTTTGAATTACGAACAAACTTATTTTATTAAAATGAGTTTTAGAAAAATAATTTTTGAAAATAAGACTCCAATATGGGTTTGTGTTGATTTCGTGCTTTTTTATTTTCCCTAATAAACATGCATCTACAGGAGACTTTATATATATAAGATTCTCTCTATTTTAAAAAATCAACCTTTAAAATTGTGGTTCAAGAAACTCTTTAAAGAGTCAAGATTTGCTATTCAATTTTACTGTTCATCCAATTCATTTTTGACATGTTTTTAATAATTAACATGTTATCTCAAATTCATTCTCATTAAATTCACCACTAATCCATTAAATTCATGATGTGTCAATAGTTAATTGGATAGACTGGGAAATTGGATGTGGATCTCAACTCCTCTTTAAATTAACATTTTTTGACCGAGCAGATTAGGATCTCCAAATTTGGAAAGCCAAATTCATTCTCTATAATTAAATGCATTTAAATTATCTCAATTTTGAATAGAGAAAAATAAAATAATAATTTAGAAGAAAACTAGTGAAACAAAAAAATATGAAAAAAAAAATAAATATTTTTTGGGAGCAAAAATTAAGTGTTAAACATAAATAGCCCTTTGGATTACTTAAAAATTTTTACTCTCTAAATTATAGAATATGTTCTTTAAAAATATTGAGTTTCTTACAGACTTATTGTGTAAGTGGCCTAATGCTTGATCCTCCTTTGGGTGATCTTCTACGTAATTATTATGTAGCATATTAGAAATGAAAATGGTAAATTAATGATTATGAAAATGTCTTAGCCCTTGTTTGAACTCCATTTTTTTGAAAAAAAAAATGCATTTCTTAACACTGTTTTAATATCATTTCAACTACACATTCTTTAATAAAATAATATTACACGCAAATTCAAAATTTTTTCTTATTTTTTAACTACATATTTTCCATCAATACACTCTCAAAAATTCATTCTTTCCCCGCAATGAGGGCTTAATATTAAAAAGTTAATTAAAAGTACCTTTTTTTAAACTAGCATGTCACACATTGATTACATAGAAGATTCATGGAGATATTGACTGACCGTCAATTAAGCAATTTTCATCATTTTGAAAGATGATAATGACTGGTTATACAATTTAAAACTAAACTTATCCACCTGAATTTTCTTTAAAAGGTTATGTCATCGCAGATAAATTTACATGATTAGATGTTTATTTATTTATTAATTAAACCGTAATTTATTTTTTCCCAAGCAAAGGCTAACTGTTTATCTCATGGAAGTCAACAAATCAGCCAGGTTGTCGATGTACCTAAAAGACATTCGATAACGGAAAACACAATTATTAGAAAAAATAATACTATCTAGGACCAGTTTAGGTTGTTACATCAATAGTTATAATTAAATAAATTATGTGACATTATATTTAAGTATCATTTAATTTCATGCCGTTGCCACATAGACTGATGCTTAACGTCAGTGATGTTGAATATCATTACTCTAGTAGAGAAGACAATTTTGCAACCAACTCAAAAATAAGCCTTCATCTAAAAAAAGATAATAAATTAGTACATCAAGTTGGCACAATGCATTTCAATTATAAATGGAAACGTCCCAAGTGATATATGTCGTAACATTTATCGTTTGATTATTTTTATTACCCTACCTATTAGATATGAATTTTAATTAGGCTAATACATAAGTTCTAATAAAAATAACAAAATACCAGCACGAAAAGAGGGACAAGATTACCCATGGTAAATCAAATAGAATTTATTATAATTCATTGAAGTCGAAAAATGTTGGAGCAAAGTACAGTAGAAAAAATATTGGATAGGTGAGCGACATAAGGCTGGACATTGAACAACGTAAGCAAACCTACACGAAATCTCATCACAGATGCCAGGGTTAGTAGAAATCTGTGAAAGGGATTCTTGTTCTGGACAAGGGGATACAAGTACATACCAGAAGCCAATCTTAAGTTTGACTACTGAGTCGCAAATAGTCCTTTCAGAAGTGGCAGATTGGTAGAAGGTCCAGTGATCCGTCGGTTCAGAGTGGCATGAAGCACTGGCCATTCAAGGTTGTTGCAGCACCTGGTGACAAACCTATGATTGTCGTCACATACAAAGGTGAGGAGAAGCAATTTTCAGCTCTGAGAAGAATGTGTTGATTTCCGATCTTGGAGGTGGTACTTTTGATGTTTCTCTTCTCACTATTGAAGAGGGTATTTTTGAAGTGAAGGCAACGGCTGGTGATACACATCTCGGAAGAGAGGATTTTGATAATCGGATGGTGAATCGCTTTGTTCAGGAGTTCTAGAGGAAACACAAAAAGAACATTTAGTGGCAACCCGAGAGCGCTTAGGAGAGTGAGAACTTCATGTGAGAGGGCAAAGAGAACGCTCTCGTCAACTGCCCTTGGCTAGAACAGGACCTTGTCTGCTTCGCCAATCTTTAGCCAATTC